ATTGGCTTTTAGCAAGGTTTAACTTATTGTTTTAATTTATTGTTTTATCAGTGAGGTGTTTTATGTACTTGTGTTTTATTGTATTTTATATTTGTATTTTATTGTAGAGCACTTTGGTCAGCCTCGGTTGTTTTTAAATGTGCTTTATAAATAAACTTGACTTGACTTGACTTTGGAGGTCTGTACTGACTGAATCTGAAAAAAGTTGGCAACCTCTGTGCCACAGTATCTGTTGAGCCCGCTCTGTGATGTAATGTGGTCTACCACTTTGTGCCACTTTTGAAATATTTAATATTGAGGACATTTCAAGACTGGACTTGTTGCACAGGTGGCATCCTATCATAATACCACGCTAGAGTTCACTGACATCCTGAGAGCAACCCATTCTTTCACAAATGCTTATAGAAGCAGTCTGCATGCCTAAGTGCTTAATTTTATACACCTGTGACCATGGAAGTGATTGAAACACTTGATTTCAATTGTTTGAATGGGTGAGTGAATATGTTTGACCATATAGTGTATGATACGTCCATTGTGAGATTATTATACTATTTTATGCCATGTTATACCTCTAATTAAAGCTTGTGAAATCATTATGTAGTTTTAGGTTGCATTATTCTCCTGACTTAGAAGAAGGTGATAACTATTACATTTATTAGAATGATTTGTATTACATTAGACTGCTGATTTATTGTGAATGAATGACATTGTTTTATGATGCATTATACTGCTGATTTATAAGAAATACTGTTTTCAGAGAATCATGGCCTTATTTGTCTGATTAGAAAGAACAGAACATACTGCACAGGAAGTCAAGGTCATAACTTAGGCTCACTGAGAGAGAAAGAATGTGGATGTTTAGGTTTTATGACTTTGGAGGGGGGCTGAAGCTATAAGAGTTCTGGCGGACACCCTCCTGTCCATATCTCCCGTCCGGATGGTAATGCTCAAAAGTGTTGTATGGAATAATGAGAATTGTATGGAATAAAGAGATTGTTGATTGAACATTTATGTTGTTCTTCCTTCAGCCCAAAGATCAAAGAATTGGGATATTTAACACCATTAAACAGATGTAAGTGTTCAATGGATCAACATCGACTGACAGTAGGAAGAGCATTGCATCTTGCATCGGGATGTAGCTAGCACCTAAATCTGGACCCACAATTATTACCCAGCATAATCAATCAATCAATCAATCAATCAATCAAGGACGAAGAATGTGGGATACTGTTTGTCTGTGATTTGGAGAGCCCAGGCTGCTCCCGACAAAGAGAAAACCAATTCTGCAGGGGAGACCTACCTTGGCACTTGTGCAGGTGAAGCCAAAGGGAAGACATGCTTCACCATATTTTCTAGTCTTTGGTAGTTAGAATGAAGTTGGTTTGGAAACATATTCAGCGATGCTTCATCTCCTGCTTTGCGTTTGGTGGGCGCCCGTCAAAAACCTGTCCATTATGCTAGCAGTGTCCAAGCGTTTTTTTTTCTTTTTTTTTTTTTTCCTTTTCATACCACGCCCCCCCCTGCAATGGCTCTGCGCAACCTCTAGGGGGCGGGCCCCACACTTTGGGAAGCTCTGCTCTAATGGCAATGCTTAAAAAGTGTTTACTACTCTGCTGAGTATACTGTGCCCTAAAACAACCCCCCTTTATCCTAGACATGAGTACATGAGCATCACTTTGTCTCTCTGTCAATCAGAAAGCATTGTTCAGCTTCTCTGCTTGTTGTTCCCCTTGTCCTCTCGGTTCCCTAAGGCTTTCCTTTATCTGATCAATAGTTGTCCTGGGACCTCGCTCTTAACTGGCTGTCAGGCTTTATGCGCTCCAGGTGGCTCAATCTCTATGCTTCTTTCTTTCTTTTGTGTGACTGGTGTCCTTGGTATTTTGTGCAGAATGCAATCTTCATTTATACTCTTCATAGGAGTTCTTTCTACTTTGTCCTTAAAGAAATAACATTACCTTCTCTTTTCTTTAAGTGAGCCTAGCCAAGCAACCCATGTGATCAAATCCAACTAGACACTCTGACATTGTAAGAACAGTTTTTTGATTTAATTGTGGTCGATTTAAAAAAAAAAAAAAAAATATAATATATATATATATATATATACTATATATTATATTTTTTTTTTTTCCA